GGATTTTTGGGGGAAAATTTCCTCCTCACAAGGGTTGAAAAATGAAATTTTTGGGGGGCTTTTTGCATGACCTTTATCCCCAAACACACCAGGGACAAAAGGTTCTTTAAAAAACAAATTCAAGGTTTGAAATGGCCTTTCCAAAACCCCGGATTCTAACCCCCCCTGAAAAAAAAGAAAATTTTGGGGGGAATTGAAAGTCCTTTTTTTCCCATGAAAACATACTTTTTAAAGGGGGTTTGAATAGGAAAAATTTGCCAAAAAAAAGAAATTGGGAAAATTTTAAAAACTTTTGAAAAAAAAAAAAAAAAAAAAAAAAAAAAAAGGGTTTTAAAAAGAAAATAAATTTTAAATTTTTTTAATTTTGACCCCCCTTTTAAAATTTTTTTTTTTGGGGTTTTTTTTTTTTTCCTTTTCAAACCCTTTGCTTTCGGTTAATTTTAAAAAAAACTGGGGAAAATTTCCCCTTTTTTGTTAAAATTGGCCCAGTTTTGAAAAAAAAAGTAGCCACGGGGTAGAAGACTGCATGGGACGTGATACATACAGTACCCGGGATTGGGCAGATTTGTTCCAAGAGGGAACACCATGGACACGCATGTTTGGAGGACAAAGAATGCTGAGTTGCATCCAAAGAACACCATACCTACTGTGAAGCATGGGGGTGGAAACATCATGCTTTGGGGCTGTTTTTCTGCAAAGGGACCAGGACGACTGATCCGTGTAAAGGAAAGAATGAATGGGGCCATGTATCGTGAGATTTTGAGTGAAAACCTCCTTCCATCAGCAAGGGCATTGAAGATGAAACGTGGCTGGGTCTTTCAGCATGACAATGATCCCAAACACACCGCCCGGGCAACGAAGGAGTGGCTTCGTAAGAAGCATTTCAAGGTCCTGGAGTGGCCTAGCCAGTCTCCAGATCTCAACCCCATAGAAAATCTTTGGAGGGAGTTGAAAGTCTGTGTTGCCCAGCGACAGCCCCAAAACATCACTGCTCTAGAGGAGATCTGCATGGAGGAATGGGCCAAAATACCAGCAACAGTGTGTGAAAACCTTGTGAAGACTTACAGAAAACGTTTGACCTGTGTCATTGCCAACAAAGGGTATATAACAAAGTATTGAGAAACTTTTGTTATTGACCAAATACTTATTTTCCACCATAATTTGCAAATAAATTCATAAAAAATCCTACAATGTGATTTTCTCGATTTTTTTCCCTCATTTTGTCTGTCATAGTTGACATGTACCTATGATGAAAATTACAGGCCTCTCTCATCTTTTTAAGTGGGAGAACTTGCACAATTGGTGGCTGACTAAATACTTTTTTCCCCACTGTATGTCATGCAATAAAATGCAAATTAATTACTTAAAAATCATACAATGTGATTTTCTGGATTTTTGTTTTAGATTCCGTCTCTCACAGTTGAAGTTTATTAATTTTATTTTAGGTCATTTAGCAGACGCTCTTATCCAGAGCGACTTACAGTGTACCTATGGTAACAATTACAGACCTCTACATGCTTTGTAAGTAGGAAAACCTGCAAAATCGGCAGTGTATCAAATACTTGTTCTCCCCACTGTATATATATATACATTACCGTTCAAAAGTTTGGGATCACTTAGAAATGTCCTTGTTTTCCATGAAAACATACATGAAATGAGTTTGAATAGGAAATATAGCAAAATGAATAGGAAATGTAGTCATTGACAAGGTTAGAAATAATTATTTTTAATTGAAATAATTGTGTCCTTCAAACTTTGCTTTCGTAATCTGAATCTTTTTATTGGCCAGTCTGAGATACGGCTTTTTCTTTGCAACTCTGCCTAGAAGGTCAGCATCCCGGAGTCGCCTCTTCACTGTTGACGTTTAGACTGGTGTTTTGCAGGTACTATTTAATGAAGCTGCCAGTTGAGGACCTGTGAGGCGTCTGTTTCTCAAACTAGACACTCTAATGTATTTGTCCTCTTGCTCAGTTGTGCACCGGGGCCTCCTCTTTCTATTCTGGTTAGAGACCGTTTGCGCTGTTCTGTGAAGGGAGTAGTACACAGCGTTGTACGAGATCTTCAGTTTCTTGGTAATTTCTCGCATGGAATAGCCTTCATTTCTCAGAACAAGAATAGACTAATGAGTTTCAGAAGAAAGTTATTTGTTTCTGGCCATTTTGAGCCTGTAATCGAACCCACAATTGCTGATGCTCCAGATACTCAACTAGTCTCAAGAAGACCAGTTTTATTGCTTCTTTAATCAGCACAACAGTTTTCAGCTGTGCTAACATAATTGCAAAAGGGTTTTCTAATGATCAATTAGCCTTTTAAAATGATAAACTTGGATTAGCAAACACAATGTGCCATTGGAACACAGGACTGATGGTTGCTGATAATGGGCCTCTGTACGCCTATGTAGATATTCCATTAAAAATCAGCCGTTTCCAGCTACAATAGCCATTTACAACATTAACAATGTCTACACTGTATTTCTGATCAATTTGATGTTATTTTAATGGACAAAAAAAAGTTTTTCTTTCGAAAACAAGGACATTTCTAAGTGACCCCAAACTTTTGAACGGTAGTGTATATACAGTGGCTTGCGAAAGTATTCAACCCCCTTGGCATTATTCCTATTTTGTTGCTTTACAACCTGGAATTAAATTGCATTTTGGGGGGGTTTGTATCATTTGATTTACACAACATGCCTACCACTTTGAAGATGCAAAATCTATTTTTATTGTGAAACAAACAAGAAATAAGACAAAAAAACTGAAAACTTGAGCGTGCATAACTATTCACCCCCCCCAAGACAATACTTTGTAGAGCCACCTTTAGCAGCAATTACAGCTGCAAGTCTCTTGGGGTATGTCTCTATAAGCTAGCCACTGGGATTTTTACCCATTCTTCAAGGCAAAACTACTCCAGCGCCTTCAAGTTGGATGGGTTCCGCTGGTGTACAGCAATCTTTAAGTCATACCACAGATTCTCAATTGGATTGAGGTCTGGGCTTTGACTAGGCCATTACAAGACATTTAAATGTTTCCCCTTAAACCACTCAAGTGTTGCTTTAGCAGTATGCTTAGGGTCATTGTCCTGCTGGAAGGTGAACCTCCGTCCCAGTCTCAAATCTCTGGATAGATTGAAACAGGTTTCCCTCAAGAATTTCCCTGTATTTAGCGCCATCCGTCATTCCTTCAATTCTGACCAGTTTCCCAGTCCCTGCCGATGAAAAACATCCCCACAGCATGATGCTGCCACCACCACGAGGATGGTGTTCTCGGGGTGATGAGAGGTGTTGGGATTGCGCCAGACATAGAGTTTTCCTTGATGGCCAAAAAGCTTTGCAGCTCCTTCAGGGTTATCTTTGGTCTCTTTGTTGCCTCTCTGATTAATGCCCTCCTTGCCTGGTCCGTGAGTTTTGGTGGGTGGCCCTCTCTTGCTTAGTAGCGTTGCAGACTCTGCAGCCTTTCAGAACAGGTGTATATATACTGAGATCATGTGACACTTAGATTGCATACAGGTGGACTTTATTTAACTAATTATGTGCCTTCTGAAGGTAATTGGTTGCACCAGATCTTATTTAGGGGCTTCATAGCAAAGGGGTTGAATACATATGCACACACCACTTTTCCGTTATTTATTTTTTAGAATTCTTTTGAAACAAGTAATTTTTTTCATTTCACTTCACCAATTTGGACTATTTTGTGTATGTCCATTACATGAAATCCAAATAAAAATCAATTTAAATTACAGGTTGTAATGCAACAAAATAGGAAAAACGCCAAGGGGTATGAATACTTTTGCAAGGCACTGTATATATATAAATATATATATATATATAGTTTTTTTTATATATATACATTTACACACAAAAAATTCAACCTGTTTTCGCTTTGTCATTATGGGTTATTGTGTGTAGATTGCTGTAGATTTTTGTATTTTTTTAAAATCCATTTTAGGATAAGGCTGTAACGTAACAAAATGTGGAAAAAGTCAAGGGGTCTGAATATTTTCCGAAGGCACTGTATTTTTTCAGTATAGGATTGTAGTTGGAAATGTGTAGCCAAACATCCTAGAAAAGATCAATTGATGTTTATCATGTAGCCTTGAGCCAATTGAAGAGCGCTTCTTAACGTTTGTCCAATCAGATGTCTAGGTTAATATCTATTTAGGTCGCACATGAATTTAAGTCGATTCCCCCAGTTGAACTTAAATTTGACGCTGTAGCGACCAGCGAATGTCATATGTTCTTGCCTTTAGAATATGCACTTTAAACGTATCAACATTAGAACCGATCAATTAAGAAATGTCTTTGAGTGGGGAGCAGACAGAATTCCTTGTTATTTTGTGCGTCTTGGCTGCAGCCCTCGTGCAAACTTACCGTAAGTCTTCATTCAATATTTTTCAATATTGCTCTTTGCATTTCGATATTCATAAAGTAGCCAAATTATGTTTAACGTAGGTTGTTCATTCATTGCAACCAAGAAACTACATAAATGTGCAAGCAGACATGGATCAGAGCGCTATAACCTGCTGTGGATTGTGGCACGGTTTGATTGACATGTAATGTCAGACAGCTATAATTCGTAGGAGTAGTAGCAGAAAACCCCCAGAGTGAACATTTTGTATGGTGCGTAGGCTATATTGCCAGACACTTCTTTTTTTTTTTTTGGTGACGCAGATAAAAAAATTCATACACAATCATATTTACCGCCGTATTTGCTTCCCGATATTTTTTTATTCTGTATTCCAATCAGTATTTCTATAGTGTGAAAGTCAGTATAATGGATTGATAAAATACAGATTGACATTGTAACTATTTGAACATGCACTCCAAGGTAAACATTGCCTGGTAATAGGCCTACTGTCAGCAATGCTCAATATACCTATTCTTCAATCCATACAATTCATTCAGCTGAATACACAGACAAGACACTCTTGCTTAGCTTCTATCCACCACCTATGAGTGTTCTTCTAATATTATGTAAGGTGTGTTATTCATCCCTGTGGTAGAGATCCAAGAGGCCACTGTGTACTGGGATGCTGCCCAGAAGAGTGTGATTCTGAAGGAGGGGGTGTTGGAGAAAGAAGGGGGTGCCTATGGCTATTACAATGATACTCTCCTCCTGACGGGCTGGGGGGTACTGGAGATTCGGGCAGGGTATGGGGAGACCCCCGAGAGTGATGAGACCACTTCCTTCTTGGCTGGGTATCTGGAAGGGTTCCTCACCGCAGAGTGAGTGCTTTCACTGCTTTGTTACAAATGACACTGATGTTCGTTTTATCTTTATTTAGCGCTGTTCATGCCTATACATTCATTATAGACATCATCAGTATTGAGAGTGAGAATCCTTTAGGAAATGTTGAGGAAATTTTGACTCTGGCTTTCTCTCTCCATCAGGCAGATGTTTAGCCACTATGCCAACATATATCCTCAGATGATTAAAGACGAGAAGATTCTGGACCCCTTGAAAGATTTCATGATGTAAGATTCCCTTTTATTCTATAGACCAGCGGTTCTCAACCTTTTCCTTTCTGGGGACTACCAAATCACTATCGAAAGCTCGAGGACCACCATTCGCGGAATCACAGATTTTCTTTTTACATCAAATATCTTGATGGTCAAATGTAGTCCATTTTAGCAGTGAATGTAACAAATTAAAGGCCTATAATTATTATAATATCTGAATACCTGAGTCGGTCCACAGTAAACAGGACTACTGGACCAGAGAGCAGGTGAAGTTGAGGAGAAACACTGACCCCTTGTGGCTGCATACAGGACTGATCCTGGCTCAACTGGATGGGCTACAGGCTGGAGCTGCATACTGGGCTAAGAGCAGGCAGAGAGAGGTGTGTGGGAGTGAGAGAAAGGTGTGGGGAAAGGTGTGTTTTGAAGATTATTTTCTGTATGCGAGCATCAGATTTTCCTCCAACCTAATGGAATCTGTAGATTCACAAACCCCTAATTGCAAACCAAAAACAGTTCCCAGTCCTTTATGCAAATCCCAACTGACCCCTTTCTTCCCCCTCTTTACGTCCTAGCCTCTGTCCATGTTTGCGCTGCAGTTTCTGAATGAAGTTGGAGACCTGCTGGACCTGATTCCAGCGCTGACGCCACGCTTCAACTCCTCCCGAGGCCCTGTGCCAGTTATGGGCCACTGCTCAGCTCTCATAAAGGTCAGAGGTCAAGTGAATTTGGCTGGGATGAGGTCTGGTCGTTTGTTTAGCTCATGATTGGTGGTGTTTATAGTTTATTTATACCTGACTTGCATATCATCCCCATGAGTGGAGTTATACAATGCGATTTCCATAATCTACAAAAGATATTCAGCCACTGTTAAAGCGTATTGGTTTATAATGATATAGATACCTTTTTTATTGAGCTTACATTTTTCTACAGGAGTGGATTAATACCTTTCTCAGATCCAGTTTTCTCTTCAGTTCATGCACGAGGTAGTGGTGCCTCAACCACAAAAGCCTGTGATGTAACACCATGTGTTTGGTGTCTTTATCCTGTTCTCTGTGTAGGTTCTGCCAGGCTTTGAGAACCTGCTGTTAGCCCACTCCAGCTGGTTCAGCTACGCTTCCACCATGCGTATCTACAAACACTGGGACTTCAGGCTGGCCGACACACACACCGCCACGGGCAAGATGTCCTTCAGCAGCTACCCTGGTACAAGAACGATTGAATTTGATTGATATAGCGCTTTATATTGAACCCTTGACTGGGAACACATTCTCATTTACAGCAACGCCCCGGGGAATAGTAACAGGGGAGAGGAGTGAATGAGCCAATTGGAAGCTGGGGATGATTAGGTGGCGATGATGGTATGAGGGACAGATTTGGAAGCCTGGTTCCTCATTTTCAAGTCAAGGGGGTTAAGTGATGTTATTGAAGATTTGCCATTTTCCCTATCAAACAATATATTGTGGCTTAAAAGTGCTATTTTTAGAGTTAAGCAGGGAATATTATCTCACTCTCAGTGCAGAAACCCACTACATTAAAAACTACTAAAATACACTCAGGGATCTAGGATTTGAATTTATCTAGCCCTTCTTCTGTGTACAAGCTTACCACAGTCTCTCGGGACTGAAATCGACTACATTATAATGACATTTTTAATTACCCTGTGGTGCTAGGAATGTTACACCTCACATATGTCCTTACCCTTAGCCCGGCTTATTTTTTTCTCTACACTATGGTGCAAGGGATGCTATACTACTCCCACATCCCACTCCAAGCCGCCCCCACATGTCCTCTCCCCTCCTTCACCCCTCAATGTCCTCCTCTCCTTTCCTAACCAGACATGCACTGATCTCCCCCTCTCTCCTCTCCCCTCTTTCCTGCCAGGCTTCCTGACATCCTTGGATGACTTCTACCTGCTGGGCAGTGGGCTGCTGATGACTCAGACCACCAACAGTGTCTTCAACACCTCTCTGTTCACCCTGGTCACCCCCCACAGCCTGCTGGCCTGGCAGAGGGTGCGGCTGGCACACGCCCTGGCACGCACCGGGGAGCAGTGGGCACACATCTTCTCTAAGTACAACTCCGGTAATGCCTGGGGTGTGGAGGATGTTTCTGGGATTGGGTTTTGTGATTTGTGTAATAACCTGTACTTGCATGAATAACCTATGCGCTTTTGTTTAGGTGTGGTGAGGTGTGAGGATCGACTTTGTGATTTGTGTGCTACTGTACTTGTTAATGATTGCAGGATTACATGTTTTCTGTGCAGTAACACTAGGTAGTTTATGTTGAATTGATTGTTGCATAGTATGATAAATGGCATAGTATGTTACACACCATGTGATGTATCGCCTTAGGCCCTGACCACAGATGATGGAACTGTCCTGTTCTCTAAGGGTGTACTGTAGTCTGTCTTTGTTAATAGAGCCATTGCAGCAGGAGATGACAACTTGTTGCTTAGGAGGAACAGTACAGCTTGTTCTCACTGAGGGGACTGACTGGCCATAGCCTCTGTGTCTCTGGAACCTACAGTAACCAGAAAGTGACACCTGATACGTGCCCATTATGATGGTATACATGCGAACTCTGCTCACCAGTTCCATATTCAAATACCCTATTTTTCCGGGTATCTGCATGTTCCAGTGTAGTGCATGGGTTCACCACAGTCCCAAGCCATGACATACTGCATATCAGGAGGAGACTTGTTTCTCCTGTCTTTTCAAGGACCTGTAATAACCAGTAGATAATCAACAACAAACCAAGTTAACCACCACTAATAACACAACTACATTTCCCCTCCCTCCCTCCTCAGGAACCTATAACAGCCAGTACATGGTGCTGGATCTGAGCAGGGTGTCGTTGGGGAGGAGAATAAGGGATGGGGCTCTGACTGTGGTGGAGCAGATACCAGGACTGGTGCTACACTCTGACCAGACACAGGCCCTGCGACAGGGTAAGGGACAGTCTCATTTCAGTCTGTTGATATAACGCTAAACTGGTGGATATACATGGGTTATATGCCATCCTAATTGACACTCTAGGATTAATAAAGTCTTATTGGATTGAACTTCATATGCTTCCCCCAAATGTAATGAATTGATTGACAAGCTGATATGTTGCTACATTTATTTTCAAAGCCTGGGGGAGAATGATAAATGTATTGTTTGTATAATGTGATTAAATGGCAGCTGTACTAGCCATGATTATTATCTATATGTGTATATTGTAAAATAAAATTGTGTTTTACTACCAATATGTGCATGACACTTAAAGGCCCAGTGCAGGCAAAAATTAGATTTTCCTGTGTTTCATATATATTTCCACACTAAGAGGTTGGAATAATACTGTGTAATTGTGGAAATTATGATAATGCCCTTTTTTAGTGTAAGAGACATCACCACGCGGTAAAACCTCTCTGCCAATAACAGCTAGTTTTCCGTTTTCCCCTCCCCAATCCGACCACTCCCGGACAGTCGTAGCAAATTTCTTGCTTGAGAAATTGCTCTTGCTAAGAAGCTATTTTATTTTTTTGACCATTTTGATTTGAAAACAATTACAGTAAGGTACCTAATTGTTACCCAGAAAGGATTTGATATTAAGGTAAAAACAGCTGCATTGGGCCTTTTTAAATAAAATATATCAATCAAGGAATCATGTTGGTTGTTTGGGTCTCTCAGCATCTGATATGTCTTCACCCTTCCTACATTATTCTTGTCTTTCTCCTGGTCCCTCCGGCAGGCTACTGGCCATCCTACAACGTGCCCTTCCATGCAGACATCTACAACCTGAGTGGCTACGGGGTCATGTGGAGGAAGCATGGAGAGGACTTCTCCTACGACCTCTGTGCCAGAGCCAAGATCTTCCGCAGGGATCAGGCCAGGGTTACAGACCTCGCCTCCCTCAAGCACATCATGAGATACAACAGTGAGTGCTGCAGTATGATTTTATCAGGAATGGGTTGGTAACTGTAGTCCTTTTATAATTGGGCAGATGCAGGCAACGCCAGGCCTGGAGGACCGCTGGCCCTGTAGTGTCTGTAATCTTTTTTGCTATAGCCATAATCGGGCTGGAAAGAATCGGGCCTTTCATTCCGGGCTGCTCAAGCTATCCCTATAAATAGAATGAGAATTCAGTCTGAGATTAAATTATTCAACCCCACAAGGAGGATGGATCATCTTGCTGTGTGGGTCTACTAGATTGTCACGCCTGCTGTTCCAACCTCTGAACTCAGTGCTTTTGAACTGTGTCTCCAGACTACAGGAAAGACCCTTACTCCAAGGGCCATCCCTGTAAAACCATCTGCTGTCGCAACGACCTGAGGCTGAAGAAACCACGTCCAGGAGGCTGCTATGACACCAAGGTCAGGGTTCAATTACCACCATGTCCAGGCATTCTCACTCATAAAATAACAATATCAAAGGGAACATGATGGCACAATTTATACTCCTACAGTACATCATAATACTAAAATAACATTCAGGTAAAACAAAGGGCCATTTTTAATTATCATTCTCTCTCTCCTTCTCCCTCTCTCCCTCTCCTAGGTGACGGACTTCCATCTGGCCCATCAGTTAGCAGCGGAGGCAGTGAACGGTCCCACCACTCAGGGGGGCCTGCTTCCGTTCTCCTGGAGCCACTTCAACAGCACAGCCCACAAGGGTCTGCCGCAGTCATACAACTTCAGCTTCATCACCATGAAGCCAACCCTGTCACTATACCAGCCCTGAGAGGGGTCTGGGGGTCAGGGTTGTGTTCATTAGGGCATGCAACACATTTTTTTTTTTTTGCAATGGAAGATGAAAATAAGTGTTTCTTATTGTCCAGGTAGTCCCTCTCTATTTAATTCAGTTTTCTTCCATTTGGTTCATAATGAAAATGACCCATGGGACTGAAAGCACAGAGGGAGTAGGGGAAGAGGTAGCCACTAGACGCTGATCTAAGGTCTGTTTTGTGGTTTTTGTTGTTAGCGAAACGGTTAGATGCACTGAATATAGTGTATCTTTTTTATGTGATTGTTACTTTTGTATAATGCGTGTTCATTTGTGTGGTGTATATTCCTCTGAGTTAATGACTGAGCAGGCAGAGGTCATTACATGATTCTATGTTTACAGTGCAGTCCAGTGAACTGTGTCAGTCGGGGCTGGGGAACATGTAGCCTGCAGGCCAATATTGACATTTACACACAATGATACCAGCTCAGACTTTTCATTTTTATGCCACAGTTTGGTTCCCTGGTCTTGACTTGAACCAGAAGTGATGACCGGATGCCAATAATCAGGGAATTAGTTGTCTGTACAACATTCTCAGGTTTGTGTGTTTTTCTGAAGCCACCATATTGATACTCCCCCGAAGAAAGTCCTCCATAGGAATGAATGGAATTCCACAGTACAATTAAATGTTTCAATGACAAAATGACATGTCTTTAGTGGGGACAGTAACATTAGTACTCTCAAAAAATTATACTGAAATAGTTTAATTTTGTATTTTAATGTTTAGCTCACATAATATAATTTAAAGGTATGCGTTAAGGTGTCTGTAATAGAATAAACGTGGCAAAAATGATTGTAGACATTTAATAAATGCATTTCTATAGCTTCCAAAATATGTTTTTACCATAGAGTACCACAGTATGAGTCATAATACCCATAAAACCTAGCGTTTTTCCAGCATTCAGTTTTTCCATAGGGGATTTTAGAAAAACTTCAAATAAGGGCAGTGTTTCGTGTAGGCTTACCCTGGCGTTACGTTTTAATAACCGTGTTAGTTAAATGTAGTAATTAATAAATTGGCTAAATTTATTTAAATGGACAATTCTGTGAACTGTCTTGTGCAAGTTTTTTATTGACACAATACCTTTTTAGCAAAGGTGTCAGCGAGAGATGACGTGCAGGAGCTTGCAGGGATTTGTAGTTTTGCATGATGTCTACTTTGATACTAATTAGCATTTTGAATCTGAGAGTAAATAGAGCCGAATATATTGATAAAAGTGACCTTGTCTGAGAGAGCTTTACATGGTTATCAAAACGTCACGCCAGGGTAAACCTACACAAAACACAGCCCTTATTTTAAGTGTTTCTAAAATCCCCTTTAGGACAAATAAATGGTGGAAAAACGATTGGAACCATTTCCCTGTTTGACCGCTATGTTTTATGGGTATTATGACACCTCCACTGTTGGGCTCTGTGAAGGAGTACAAAAATGGAGATCCCTTGGCTTCAAAACAGCGCCCCCTGTCAGTCATCTAGTGTGTATATGTAAATCGTTGGGCGGAGCTCGAGTCAACGAGGTACACGGTTGTCGTAGAGAGGGGAAAAGTGTTGTTGAGAAAGAGAGGAAGCTCAACCGTGGTGGGCTACGCACGCACGCTATTGCTTGTTGACGTTGTTTGCATCCATTGCTTATTTTCCTAATGGCAACGGAGGATAAAAGGAAATCGGTGCCGCAGGCTGTATCAACACCTCAGGGCTACAATAACAATAATAACAACAACAATAACAATAAAGACAGCGAGGTAAGCGAGAATAAGACCACAGCAACCTCGAGCGGTACCGAATCAAGTGGGACGGAAACGCACAGCATCGGGAACGGTTGTGGAGTCAATCCAACAGTGGGAAATAACGGGAAATGGGTCCGTTTGAACGTCGGCGGTACGGTATTCCTCACAACGCGGCATACCCTACTTAAAGAACAGACTTCCTTTCTCTATCGGCTCTGTCAACAACAGGACTTGCATTCGGACACGGTAAGGAGAGAATTGATCAAGCGCTTGTCTTCGCTTCGATCAAGAGATCCGAATCTGATAAGGCAAGACAGGCACTGTAGGTTGTCAATCTGTAGGTTGTGACTGATCTGTTCATGAAATACCGTACATCACTAATGCAGTAGGGCTATATAATATGATTAATTTCAGAGTGACTGTCTGTCTTTCTGTCTGTTTGTAGCCTATGATTACAGATGGTCTCGTCCCTTGGCCACATGCATAGCCCAGTGTTGTACTGTCAATTCACTGGCTCCTGCACCACTGGCCACAATTAATAGATGAGGCGCATCATCTTTGTGTGTGACCTTCATTCATCTAACTTGATCACTAATAATCAGAATAATTTGAGTGCTCTTCTTGACCATTGATGACGTGATAAATCCTACCCTGCTCTCCTCCACATCTAGATCTGATTAGTTTATTTCAGAGATAAGATCACAAACATTAGGCTGGGTATCAGTCAAGCAAGACCTGATGAGACGTTTGATATGTGCCCTAACCTACCGCGCAAAAACACCATGGAGTTATTTTCCCTGGTTGACACAGACATGCTCAGGAAAGTGATATCACAATTTAAGCCTTCTAACTGCCTTCTCGATCCTATCCCCACCACCTTCTTCAAAACAGTGCAAGTTATTGTTAATCACTCCCTGTTCACAGGCACTTTCCCCAATGCACTAAAAACTGCTATGGTGAAACACCTTCTGAAGAAAAGTAATCTAGATTCTTCAGCTATTAGCAATTTTCAGCCAATCTCCAACCTTCCATTCTTAAGCAAAATTCTGGAGAAATTGGTTTTCATACAGCTAAATGATTTTTTTAAAGTGCCAACTGTATTTGAGAAAAATTCCAATCTGGTTTTCGTGCCTATCACAGCACAGGGACAGCCTTAGTTAAAGTGGTAAATTATCTTAGAGCCAACACAGATGCCAAACAGCTCTCTGTCCTTGTACTCTTGGATTTAAGTGCTGCATTCGACACTGTTGACCATGATGTCCTTCTGGAGAGGTGGGTTGGTTGGTTTAGGACCTAGTTAACTGGTCGAGAGTTTTGTCACCCTTGGTGAACATAACTCAGAGAAAATAGATATTACATGTGGCGTTCCACCAGGTTCCATTTTGGGTCCGGTTAAGTTTCAGTTTATGTATGTTACCCCTTGGTAGCGTTATCAGAAAGCATGGCATTGATTTACACTACTATGCAGATGATAGACACCTTTACATTTCTGTGTCACCAGAGGATTTTAGCGACACAGATAAATTATTAGACTGTATTAGTGATTTAAATACTTGGATGGCTCACAATTTCCTCCAGCCAAACCAAGACAAGACCGAGGTATTTATTGTTGGAGCCAAAGCACAGAGAGATAATCTGGCCGCACATTTTAATTCATGGGTAATAAAGATAAAACACCAGGTAAAAAACCTAGGTGTCATTTTAGATTCTGACCAAAATAGCTTTTTACCACCAGAGGAACATTGCCAAGGTGAAGCTGTTTCTATCTCAGGCTGATACAAAGAGACTCATCCATGCTTTTATTACAAGCAGGCTTGACTACTGTAATGCTCTACTGTCTGGTCTACCCAAGAAAGCCATTGGTCAACTGCAAAACATACAGAATGCTGCAGCAGGGGTACTGACCAAGACCAGGCAGAGAGCACACATATTTTAAGATTCTTCTATTGGTTTTTAAATCAATCGACTATTGTGCACCCCAATACATGTCAGACATGCTTTTGAGTTATGTACCCAGTAGGTCCCTCAGGTCCCCTGGCACTGGCCTTTTAACTATCCCAAAGCCTTGGACCAAGAGGCATGGAGAGGTAGCCTTTAGTTACTATGCCCCCAGCCTCTGGAATAGCCTGCCAGAGAACCTGAGGGGGGCCGAAACCGTGGAAATATTTAAAAGAGATCTTAAAACAGACCTTTTTTGCTTTGCTTATCCTTAGGGTGCTTTATTAGTCTTTCAGTTATTAATGTTATACTTTTCTTTTTTTATCCTCTTGTATTTGTGTAGTAAATATTTCTGTTTTATTTTCATTGTTTTTATTTATATGATTTCCTGTGAAGCGCATTGCGTTGCATCCATGTCTGAAATGTGCTATAGAAATAAAGCTTGATTTGATTAGTGCACTAGTGTCCATGAGTGTGTGTGTGTGTGTGTCTCTCTCTCTCTCTGGTTTCAGTTATTGTTTTCTCCCTAGAATAAGTCAAATGATTGTATGTGTGTCTGTCTCTTTGTTGAGACAAACAACACCCCTGTTTTCCTAACAGGTATTTCCTGTGGGACCCAGTGAGGCCCCCATAGGACCTGGCACTAGGCTAGCACACTGTGTAGTTCCTTGGGTAAACGCCGGGTAAACCATTAACACACCAGATGAGGGTTTACTTTTCCGTGACGGCTGTTTAATGGGCTGATCGGCGGCGGTGTGGCTGAACAGACAGGCCAGGATGACAGGAAATACAGAGAGAAAGTAGCTCATTTTTAATCTTCACCCTCGCTGTGTGCGTGTGCGTGTATCATTCATAGCGAGGGTACTGAGATATTCTGGTGTCGTCAAGTCACGTCCAATAAGGAGGTGTCTGTCTGTCCTCAACTGCAGTTGCTCTGGGTTGTCTCTCTCTCTCTGCCCCTGTCTAGCCCCCTTTCCCCCAGCACCTCTCCGCCGTCTAGCCCTTCCCCACCCTCTACCTCTTGCCCTTCTAGCCCCCTTTCCCCAAGCACCTCTACCTTTGCCCCTGTCTAGCCCCCTTTCCCCCAGCACCTCTACCTCTGCCCCTGTCTAGCCTCCTTTCCCCCAGCACCTCTACCTTTGCCCCTGTCTAGCCCCCTTTCCCACGCCTCTACCTTTGCCCTCTAGCCTCTTTCTCCCCCCACCGTTACCTCTGCCCCTGTCTAGCCCCTCCCTTTCCCCCAGCACCTCTACCTCCTTCTAGCTCCCCCACCCTCTTACCTCTGCCCCTGTCTGCCCCCTTTTTCCTCCTCCTTTCCCCAGCACCTTACCCGCCCTGTCTAGACACACTCTACCTCGCCCTTTATCTCCCTCCCCTTCTCCTTCTCTCTCCAGTGTCTGCCAGCTCTCGACTCCAATCGATCCTCCTTTTATCTGCATGGCTCCCAAGTCTCATGTTCATTCAGCTGAGTGCCTCACATACCCTCCATCCCTCCGCCCATCTCACTCCCTCTCCCTCTCTCGCTCTCACTCTCTGATCTGCAGGCTCTCATTCCTTTAGTGAGGTTGGACACTGATGTTGGGCGATTAGGCCTGGCTCGCAGTCGGCGTTCCAATTAATCGCACAGAATCGTCTAGAATGTCATTGTATGCTGTGACATTAAGATTTCCCTTCACTGGAACTAAGGGATCAAGCTCGAACCATGAAAAACAGCCCCAGACCATTATTCCTCCTCCACCAAACTTTACAGTTGGCACTATGCATTGGGGCAGGTACCCTTCTTCTGGCATCCGCCAAACCCAGATTTGTCCGTTGGACTGCCAGATGGTGAAGTGTGATTCATCACTCCAGAGAACGCGTTTCCACTGCTCCAGAGTCCAATGGCAGCGAGCTTTACACCACTCCAGCCAACGCTTGGCATTGCGTATGGTGATCTTATGCTTGTGTGCGGCTGCTCAGCCATAGAAACACATTTCATGAAGCTCCAGACGAACAGTTCTTGTGCTGACGTTGCTTCCAGAGGCAGTTTGGAACTCGGTAGTGAGTGTTGCAACCGAAGACAGAGACGATTTCTACGCGCTTCAGCAATCGCCGGTCCCATTCTGTGAGCTTGTGTGGCCTACCACTTCGTGGCTGAGCCGTTGTTGCTCCTAGACATTTCCACTTCACAATAACAGCACTTACAGTTGACTGGGGCAGCTCTAGCAGAGCAGAAATTTGACTGACTTGTTGGAAAGGTGGCATCCTATGACGGTGCCACGTTGAAAGTCACTGAGCTCTTCATTAAGGCCATTCTACTGCCAATGTTTGTCTATGGAGATTGCATGGCTGTGTGCTCGATTTTATACACCGGTCATCGACGGGTGATGCTGAAATAGAATCCACTAATTTGAAGGGGTGTCCACATACTTTTGTGTGTATATAGTGTAGTTCTCTCTTTCTGCTTTTCTGCTAGCTCGCTCCACTCTGTTCGTGTTCCTGAATCCCTCTCTCCCATTCTCCTCTTTCTGAACTCCTTGGCCTCTCTCTCATCGCTCTCTACCTCCCTCTCTCTTTATAGTGTCTCTGTGTTTGAGGATGGGTGCCTGGGGCTGGTTGAGTAATCGGCAGGCAGGGAGCTCTCTATGGGGGATGCTGTAAAGGCACTGGCAGGCCTTCAGCCAAGAAAGGGCCAAGCCATGTGAATGTAACAGGCTCTCTCTCCAACGCTCTCTCTCTCCCTTCTCTCCATATCTCTGTGCATCTCTATCCTCATTCTTAGTCCTTCTCTCTCTATCTCTCTCGACTCCCCCCATCCCTAGGCTGTAATAGAGACTCTATCACTCTAATTTCATCCTTCTCGACACGAGGACTTTTGCTGTTAGTGTATAACAGGTAATCGCAAGGGGGTTTCCAATCCTACATATTTACCAAAACCCAATAGACTAGAATAGCGCAATAGAATATCACTTAATATTGATCTCCTATTCATACTAGTAATTCCTATGGTTCTCTCCTCCACTGTAGGACGAGACAGGGGCCTATGTGATAGACAGAGACCCCACCTACTTTGGCCCCATCCTCAACTACCTGCGACATGGCAAACTAGTCTACAACAAGGAGTTGGCTGAAGAAGGTACTGGATTAGGTTTGGTATTTTTACATTGTAAGACTAGTAATAAGCATGCAGCAGTGGTGTGTGGGTAAAATCACAGGGGAAGCCAGAAAAAAAGCCATACTACAACCTATGTGTTGTGATAATTGCGTTGTTTTCTCTATAACCTGTTAGTTCATATGCCTTGACACCATGATGTATAGACCTAAAGACCGAGACAATAAGAAGACACAGTGGCAGAAAAAATTCAACCACACCTTTGTTTCATCACTAAACCGGAGAGCAACATCTGTCCGGTGGAGTCCACAAAGCATATTGCATGTAACAAACAGTTACATGACCTACAGCATGGTCAAGCAAGTTAACGTTGCCGACATTTTTGGACCACTAAACAACTATTGATTTAGAATTACGTGAGTTACCCAAGTCGCAAAGAAAACAGGAGCTGCCTTCACTATTCCAGTGACAACTAAAAGATACCAAAAATGATTTAGTCCAATCAACGTAAGCTAAATATGATTTGGCTGTCCATGGTTCTGATTTCTCTGTGTGTGTGTGTGTTTCTCTCCCAGGTGTGTTGGAGGAGGCTGAGTTCTACAACATCACTCCTCTGATCAAACTGATCAAGGAGAGGATCCTGGAGCGGGACTGTAAAGTCACACAGGTCACACACACAGACACACACAGGTCACACACACACACACAGGTCACACACACACAGACACACACAGGTCACACACACACACACACACACACAGACACACACAGGTCACACACACACTGTACATAAGCGACCGAGATATACACAAATACAAAATGGCTACAGGTTAAAACAACAGACTAGCACCCAGTGCTTTGTGCAGAAAGTTCTGCCATGTTTCCTTCTGTATTTTCTAGTATATTTCACCCATCCCCCCTGGTTGTAAAGGCCTCCTAAACATGTGTACCGGGTGTTGCAGTGTTTACATATCTCTCTCTCTCTTCTCTCTCTCCGCCTATCAGCAGGTGCCTCCTAAACATGTGTACCGGGTGTTGCAGTGCCAGGAGGAGGAGCTGACTCAAATGGTTTCCACCATGTCGGACGGCTGGAAGTTTGAGCAGGTCAGCGTACGCGCCTGCAGAAAGCCCCGCACTGGACTGCTCTGGACTGTGGGTTGGACTCGTGCTGCTCTGCTCTACCACCCTCCCAACCAATCAACCCCTTTCCTGCTCTCTGTTAGCCAATCAGAGTCTCAGAGGCAGACCAATCAGAGACCAAGGCCCAGTCCCAATCTGCTCACAAAGATGGCCTCCTTTTCACATTTCCTTCCCCTCAGAAGAAGACTGATCTGAACAAACACAGACCAGTGATCATAACGGGAAGGAGATGCAAAAAGGAAGCGGCGCTAAGGAAGTTCCAATAGAACCTACCATATGTTGGCACGCACATCACCAGTTTAGTAAAGAGTATTGAGTAATGCTAAACATTGCCGTCACTGCAACAGGGTGTACAGTTCAGTCTCACTGCCCACTGTTGTATTGCTGCTAGGCTGTCCTTCCACCGTTCCTGCTCTCTGCATGAGCATCCATGGCCTGACCTGCTGTGATACGGGGCCACCTCTTTCTCTCTCACCCTCCTTCTCTCTCTCTCTCTCTCTCTCTCTCTCTCTCTCTCTCTCTCTCTCTCTCTCTCTCTCTCTCTCTGTCTCTGTCTCTGTCTCTGTCTCTCTCTGTGTGTCTCTCTCTGTGTGTGTGTCTCTCTCTGTGTCTCTCTCTCTCTCTCTGTGTCTCTCTCTCTGTGGTAGATGGTGAACATTGGTTCGTCGTACAGCTATGGGACAGAGGACCAGGCAGAGTTTCTGTGTGTGGTGTCCAAGGAGCTACACACACCTGGCTCAGGCCTGGGCACCGAACAGAGCCACAAGACCAAGGTGAGACTGACACACAGGAAACACACACACACAGGTACACATGCAGATGCGTCAGATGGATATACTCCTAAATCGTACATCATTCACCATTCACTTATCACCATCATTCACTTATCACCACCATTCACTTATCACCACCATTGATTTCCACACAGGTCTGAAGTAGCAGGATACGGATCTGTCACTGTGTGACATTTCTCCTTATCCAAGATGATCTCAGCAGCATTCTCCACTCAAACCCTCCAAATGTCACACACATCTCCCAAATGTCATTCAAAAGCACATTCACTCCATCATCCATCTGTTCTCGCTCTCTCTTTGTGATACTCATCAATCTGTTCATTATTTTTTTGTCGTTTTTTATTCTCCGCCCTTTTAATCGAGGGAAGGCTTCAGAGGTGCAGGATGAGGAGGAGGGAGGAGAGAGAAATACCACCCCGAATGAGTGCAAAGGGGAATGACAGTCTTGTGTCAGTGTTCCAAAGACGTGAATGGGTGAGGATCCATGCTAGTGTTGTTGGCTGGTGGTGGATAGTAGCAGCAGTAGCCCATGTGATCAAAAGGGATCCAGAGCTATTTCACAGGCATTTCCTTGCCCCAAACTCAATACAGTAATCAAAGGCCAAGGATAGACTGTAACCTTTTTAAAAGTGTTTTAGATTTTTACAATATGTAGAGAAAAAAGTAGGCCTTGAACTTTTGCTCCCGTTGTAAAAAGTTGGCTTCTATTTGTTTGAAATACTAATTAGGGCCTTTGTGTCCTGCCTGGGACATGATCTGATCAGCGGCATAACCCAGCTGTTCTGATGATGAGCTAGTCTCCCTAGGCAGATTAACAATGCCCTCACACATTAACGATGCCCTAGATGCCTCACACATTAACAATGCCCTAGATGCCTCTCACATTAACAATTCCCTAGATGCCTCTCACATTAACAATGCCCTAGATGCCTCTCACATGAACAATGCCCTAGATGCCTCTCACATTAACAATGCCCTAGATGCCTCTCACATTAACAATGCCCTAGATGCCTCTCACATTAACAATGCCCTAGATGCCTCTCACATTAACAATGCCTAATGCCTCTCACATTAAATGCCTCTCACATTAACAATGCCCTAGATGCCTCTCACATGAACAATGCCCTAGATGCCTCTCACATGAACAATGCCCTAGATGCCTCTCACATGAACAATGCCCTAGATGCCTCTCACATGAACAATGCCCTAGATGCCTCTCACATGAACAATGCCCTAGATGCCTCTCACATGACAATGCCCTAGATGCCTCTCACATGAACAATGCCCTAGATGCCTCTCACATGAACAATGCCCTAGATGCCCTCACATGAACAATGCCCTAGATGCCTCTCCACATAACAATGCCCTAGATGCCTCTCACATTAACAATGCCCTAGATGTCCTCTCACATTAACATGCCCTAGATGCTCTCACATTAACAATGCCCTAGATGCCTCTCACATTAACAATGCCCTAATGCCTCTCACATTAACCATGCCCTAGATGCCTCTCAACATTAACAATTGCCCTAGATGCCTCTCACATTAACAATGCCCTAGATGCCCTCTCACATGTAACAATGCCCTAGATGCCTCTCACATTAACAATGCCCTAGATGCCTCTCACATTAACAATGCCCTAGATGCCTCTCACATTAACAATGCCCTAGATGCCTCTCACATTAACAATGCCCTAGATGCCTCTCACATTAACAATGCCCTAGATGCCTCTCACATTAACAATGCCCTAGATGCCTCTCACATGAACAATGCCCTAGATGCCTCTCACATTAACAATGCCCTAGATGCCTCTCACATGAACAATGCCCTAGATGCCTCTCACATGAACAATGCCCTAGATGCCTCTCACATGAACAATGCCCTAGATGCCTCTCACATGAACAATGCCCTAGATGCCTCTCACATTAACAATGCCCTAGATGCCTCTCACATTAACAATGCCCTAGATGCCTCTCACATTAACAATGCCCTATATGCCTCTCACATTAACAATGCCCTAGATGCCTCTCACATGAACAATGCCCTAGATGCCTCTCACATGAACAATGCCCTAGATGCCTCTCACATGAACAATGCCCTAGATGCCTCTCACATGAACAATGCCCTAGATGCCTCTCACATGAACAATGCCCTAGATGCCTCTCACATGAACAATGCCCTAGATGCCTCTCACATGAACAATGCCCTAGATGCCTCTCACATTAACAATGCCCTAGATGCCTCTCACATGAACAATGCCCTAGATGCCTCTCACATTAACAATGCCCTAGATGCCTCTCACATGAACAATGCCCTAGATGCCTCTCACATTAACAATGCCCTAGATGCCTCTCACATGAACAATGCCCTAGATGCCTCTCACATTAACAATGCCCTAGATGCCTCTCACATTAACAATGCCCTAGATGCCTCTCACATTAACAATGCCCTAGATGCCTCTCACATTAACAATGCCCTAGATGCCTCTCACATTAACAATGCCCTAGATGCCTCTCACATTAACAATGCTCTAGATCTGGGATTTCCAAGACTAATAATGAGCTGACGCTGCTGTGCTGCCACTGATCCAAACCCTCTCCTAAAGGTCTCTCATTACCAATGCAATGACATGGAATAGCCCTGACATTTTGTGGAATAGTGGTATTAGTGTATTTTACAGTTCACACGCACAAAGACACACACACACACACACAGACACAAACACACACACAAACCATCTTACTTGTACAAGTGTAAAGGGGACATAGTTTGGCAGAACTGCACAAAGTGGAGCTGCAGCGTTTTATGTTTATCCAAACACCAATTAATCAAGCTTATGTTGTTGTTTTCCATCCACAACAAAGGGACACACTATTATTGTCACCATTGTCACCATCAAACATAAACAACATTACATTTCTGTCTTTAGATTGTTTCCCATGTCGTCCAATCAAAGCTGATCCACAGTTTGAAATGTTTCTCAGTTGTAAAATATTGTGAAGGGTTACATGAACATGAGAATCTGTCTTTAAAGAGGGTCTCTCCTGTCTCTGCTTGTCTTCCAGCTTTTTCACAGCCATGGATCCCGGATGTACTAGAGAGAAATGTATTTTTCTAGCTTGACATTCCATTATGTGTTTATTTATATATGTTGTATTATTGTTGTTGCTTTGGGGGGAAAAAAGACCAATAAATGCTCAAACATTGTTTTCAAATATTATTGAAACATTAGCAGAAATGTCCCTCACCAGCAGCGAAACAGCAACATTTCAAAGTGTGAGAGACGGATATGTTAGTAAAAGCATTTTGTATTATTATCTATCATTTAAAATGTATTTTAGTTCTAATCACCACTTAAGTCATGGCAGTTAGGGAATCTTAGTAAAATACATTTGTACAAAAAAATTGATGAAAAGCACTTCAAATCAATGTGCTCATCCAACTATGAAAAATGAAATTCACACTAAATATGTGATTCGTAAGTTGTTGTTTAGACTGGTTCTGACTGGTCTGATGCTTGATACCATAGTGAGACATGGGCCTGTGGTGTGTCTCTGACATTCTGTGAGACTCATACAGAAAGACAGACAGACATGAACTAACCGGCCACAGTCAGCAACACTCACTAACTCGCACACGCACACTCACACTCACACTCACACTCACACTCACACACACTCACACTCACACACACACACTCTCTCTCTCTCTCTCTCTCTCTCTCTCTCACACACTCACACACACACACACACAGTGCTTCCTGCCGCAACATGCATGTTCCCTGAGGCATGTGCGTGCCTGCAGAGCAGAGCTCTCAGCCTGTCGCCCTGGCCTGGCTCCAGCGTGACTCTAGGCCCTGTCAGGAACATGAAGAGAAGAGAGAGGTGCCTGAAAGAGGCATGTGTCTGAAATGGCACCCAATTCCATATATAGTGCACTACTTTTGACCAGAGGCCATAGGTCTCTGGTCAAAAGTAGTGTACTAATTAGGGAATAGGGTGCCATTTTGGTGCAACCCTGTTCTCTGCTCATGTTGTAATGATAGTCCCTGGCACCTTGAGGCCAGGCTGTTGTCATGACATGTTTAGCTAGAGCAGGGATGGGCAACTGGCAACAAAAAGTGCAATTTAGAATTTTGGTTGTGCATCAGCAGTTTCTCTCTTATGACAGTCAGTCAAAATGATTTAGATTAGTAAATTAGTCTAGCCAGCTATCTAAACTTGTAGTAATCATGGTCAAATTATCGATCGGAGGGCCCCCCATTGATTTAGTTAGTAACTCTCACTCAGATATCATATTAAAAACGGCAAACATTTCTCTCCACCCTATGTGTAGAATTTCAGGTACTGTACATTTGGTGTAAAATTGCAACATTTTTCTCTATGCCTCATGTAGAATTGCATGAAATTAGTTATAAAATAGCAAAATATTTTCTCTGCCCCACGTCAAAATCTGTAGAATTGCAGTAAACTTGCTTTAAAACTGCAACATTTTCTCTACGCCCCATGGCAAAATGTGTAGAATTGCAGGAAATGAACTCTAAAACATGTTTCTCTCTGCTTTGAAGAGGGGGGCTGCTAAAATATTTTGCTCCATAGGTGGGGGGGAGCAACACAATGTCACCCCAAAAGGCTAGGGCTGGCTCTGACTGCATTTGTGGTCATGGATGTTGGTACACAGACCCACGAGCCATTGCGGCCCCTCATGATAAATTCAGATTTTTTTGTGGCCCCACCCCATCAAAGCTAGAGGTATGATGGTTCCTCTCTTTCACATGGCAAAGTATTCAGACCTTGACTTTCCACATTTTGTTACGTTACAGCCTTATTCTAAAATGGATTAAATTGGGGGGTTTTCTCATCAATCTACACACAATACCCCATAATGACAAACAAAAACAGGTTTTTAAATTTTTTGGCAAAAAAGAAAAAAGAAAAACTGAAATATCACATTTACTTACAGTAAATATTCAGACCCTTTACTCAGTACTTTGTTGAAGCACCTTTGGCAGCGATTACAGCCTCGAGTCTTCTTGGGTATGGCGCTACAAGCTTGGCACACCTGTATTTGGGGAGTTTCTCCCATTCTTCTCTGCAGATCCTCTCAAGCTCTGTCAGGTTGGATGAGGAGCGTCGCTGCACATCTATTGTCAGGTCTATCCAGAGATGTTCGATTGGGTTCAAGTCCGGGCTCTGGCTGGGCCACTCAAGGACATCCCGAAGCCACCCCTGCGTTGTCTTGGCTGTGTGCTTAGGGTCGTTGTCCTGATGGAAGGTGAACCTTCGCCCCAGTCTGAGGTCCTGAGCGCTCTGGAGCAGGTTTTCATCAAGGATCTCTCTGTACTTTTCTCCGTTCATCTTTCCCTCGATCCTGACTAGTCTCCCAGTCCCTGCCGCTGAAAAACATCCCCACAGCATGATGCTGCCACCACCATGCTTCACCGTAGGGATGGTGCCAGGTTTCCTACAGACGTGACGCTTGGCATTCAGGCAAAATAGTTCAATCTTGGTTTCATCAGACCAGTGAATCTTGTTTCTCATGGTCTGAGAGTCCTTTAGGTGCCTTTTGGCAAACTCCAAGCAGGCTGTCATGTCATGCCGTCTGGCCACTCTACCATAAAGGCCTGATTAGTGGAGGGCTGCAGAGATGGTTGTCCTTCTGGAAGGTTCTCCCATTGACACAATCTTGTCTAGGAGCTCTATGGACAGTTCCTTCGACCTCATAGCTTAGTTTTTGCTCTGACATGCACTGTCAACTGTGGAACCTTATATAGACAGGTGTATGCCTTTCCAAATCATGTCCAATCAATTGAATTTACCACAGGTGGACTCCAATCAAGTTGTAGAAACATCTCAAGGATGATCAGTTGAAACAGGATGCACCTGAGCTCAATTTCGAGTCTCATAGCAAAGGGTCTGAATACTTATGTAAATAAGGTATTTCTGTTTTTTATTTGTAATACATTTGCGAACATTTCTAAAAACTAGTTTTTGCTTTGTCATTATGGGTATTGTGTGTAGATTGATGAGGAAATGCTATAATTTAATCCATGTTAGATTAAGGCTGTAACGTAACAAAATGGGGGAAAAAGTCAAGGGGTCTGAATACTTTCCGAATACACTGTATATTATTACAGCATTTTATGAGACGTTTTTCAGATGTATTTAATACTATTTTAATTCAATTTATTTCACTGTTAATGAGGAGAAAGGAGCTAAGACCCTGTCAAACAGCTGGCCAGAGCCTTAGAACAGAAAACTGTCACAACTGATTTAAAAGGATTTGGCACTGGCCATCATCACCTCCTAGCCCCTGCAGCCCAATATTGGCATAGCTAGTAGACTGCCTGTCTCTGCAACCTTCAAATACTGCAACTACAGTGATTCTAGTCTCTACACATCAACACACCGACAGATCACCATTTGAGTTGATTTCAGTTGAAAGCTTTCATGGAGGCAATCTTGCATTTATTTTGCGCTTGTGAGGTGTTAACCTCTTTTGTTATCAAGGAAGAGCATTTTTGATGGTCTTGCAATTTGGATTATTGGGTGCCTTGATTTCAAGCAGTCATCTACAAAGTCTCTGGGCAGATTTGTTTGAGTCGGTCAGTAGACTGTATAATTACCAAGCTGTTACTGAATACTGTTTTTGGTTATTTATTTTCATGACATTTGAATTGCGTGTTATTTTACTGTAAAATAAGTTTTATCTTGTTTTTCTTCTGTTTTTAAGTGTCAATGTTTTTCTGCTTTATTCCATGTATAGCCATGTGTCTGGCATAGACCTCATGGGGCGGCAGGTAGCTTAGTGGGTAAGAGTGTTGTGTCAGTAACCGAAAGGTCGCTGGTTCTAATCCCAGAGCCGACTAGGTGAAAAATCTGTCGATGTGCCCTTAAGCAAGGCACTTAACCCTAATTGCTCCTGTAAGTCGCTCTGGATAAGAGCGTCTGCTAAAATGTAAATGTAATGTTTGTAGCCTAATCTCAAACTGTTTTTCCAAGACATCAGAAGTTGAGTTGAAAACCTAGTATTCCTCAGCATGTGGTTTTTGTTTATTTTTCTACTCATCCATGAGCATGACAGATTTATCCCCCGTGCTTCACGGTTGGGATGGTGTTCTTCGGCTTGCAAGCGTTCCCCTTTTTCCTCCAAACATAACGATGGTCATTATGGCCAAATAGTTATATTTTTGTTTCATCAGACCAGAGAACATTTCTCCAAAAAGTAAGATCTTTGTCCCCATGTGCAGTTGCAAACCGTAGTCTAGCTTTTTTATGGCGGTTTTGGAGCAGTGGCTTCTTCCTTGCTGAGCGGCCTTTCAGGTTGTCGATATAGGACTCGTTTTACTGTGACTATATATACTTTTGTACATGTTTCCTCCAGCATCTTCACAAGGTCCTTTGCTGTTGTTCTGGGATTGATTTGCACTTTTCGCACCAAAGTACGTTCATCTCTAGGAGACAGAACGCCTCTCCTTCTTGAGCGGTATGATGGCTGCGTGTTCCCATGATGTTTATACTTGCGTACTATTGTTTGTACAGATGAACGTGGTACCTTCAGGCGTTTGGAAATTGCTCCCAAGGATAAACCAGACTTGTGGAGGTCTACAATGTTTTATTGAGGTCTTGGCTGATTTCTTTTGATTTTCCAATGATGTCAAGCAAAGAGGCACTGAGTTTGAAGGTAGGCCTTGAAATACATCCACAGGTACACCTCCAATTGACTCAAATTATGTCAATTAGCCTATCAGAAGCTTCTAAAGCCATGACATCATTTTCTGGAATTTTCCAAGCTGTTTAAAGGCACAGTCAACTTAGTGTATGTAAACTTCTGACCCACTGGAATTGTGATACAGTGAATTATAAGTGAAATAATCTGTCTGTAAACAATTTTAGGAAAAATTACTTGTGTCATGCACAAAGTAGATGTCCTAACCGACTTACCAAAACTATAGTTTGTTAACAAGAAATGAGTGGAGTGGTTGAAAAACAAGTTTTAATGACTCCAACCTAAGTGTATGTAAATGTCCGACTTCAACTGTATATATATATACAGTGGGGGAAAAAAGTATTTAGTCAGCCACCAATTGTGCAAGTTCTCCCACTTAAAAAGATGAGAGAGGCCTGTAATTTTCATCATAGGTATACGTCAACTATGACAGACGAAATGAGGAAAAAAAATCCAGAAAATCACATTGTAGGATTTTTAATGAATTTATTTGCAAATTATGGTGGAAAATAAGTATTTGGTCAATAACAAAAGTTTCTCAATACTTTGTTATATACCCTTTGTTGGCAATGACACAGGTCAAACGTTTTCTGTAAGTCTTCACAAGGTTTTCACACACTGTTGCTGGTATTTTGGCCCATTCCTCCATGCAGATCTCCTCTAGAGCAGTGATGTTTTGGGGCTGTCGCTGGGCAACACGGACTTTCAACTCCCTCCAAATATTTTCTATGGGGTTGAGATCTGGAGACTGGCTAGGACACTCCAGGACCTTGAAATGCTTCTTACAAAGCCACTCCTTCGTTGCCCGGGCGGTGTGTTTGGGATCATTGTCATGCTGAAAGACCCAGCCACGTTTCATCTTCAATGCCCTTGCTGATGGAAGGAGGTTTTCACTCAAAATCTCACGATACATGGCCCCATTCATTCTTTCCTTTACACGG